TTTACCCTCAGTATGGCGGCATTGAAGAAGACAAATCGTGATGGACTTTTCATGTACAGGGAAGAGGGAAAGTTGATGATGAAAATGATGGAGTTACTAATGACAGCAAAATAACAGATGAGGTAGTTTAAATGTACATGTATACTAGTACATGAATTCTAGTAAATTTGTAAATTACTGCATAATAGAGGATATGCGTGCTAAGTATATTCATTGCAAAATAAATGTATTCATTGCATACCATAATAACTTTCAAGAAAAAAAATTAGTTTGTTGGACGTCAACTTTCCACTGGCAGCAATGGAGAAAAGATAGAAAAAGGCTTGGTACCAGAAAACCGCTCTGTATTTCTTGATAGCAATCTTTCAGGTGACTACTAGACCCCATTGGATCCTCAGGATGCTTTCTAAGCTTCCAAAAAAGGCCTCAAGAAGGTAGCAAGGCAAGAAAATGTGTTTTCCCCCATTGAACTCTTAATAAACTTGACGTCCAACATGGCAGCCAATTTACTGTGTGGGTTGGATATACGGTACTTAAAAGCTATGAATATACTTAGCATGCATATCCTCTATTATGAATCTGTGACCAGTGCCATTGAGCATTTAGCATAATGATCCTATTATATATTCATTAATTAATTTATTCATCTATTTAACATGTTGACAGAATGTGATAGTGGATTATTATCTATACTTTATTGTTCTCATCTCTCTCCTCCTATCCTTTCTTTCATTTTCTCTCTCGTAGGAGCTTATAGCTATAAAAGACTCTCATGTATTTAATGTAAGTAAAGTAATGTAATGCTCCGAAATCATACCAAATTTTCATTACATTTTCTGATACATATTGACATCCTTATGCTGTGTAGAAAGTTTGAGCTGATCCCGACTTCAATTTTTTAAGTTACGGCCATTTTAAGATATTGCCACGATTTCGAAAAATACCCAAGGCTATAGCCCATGGTTTTTTCAAAAAAATGGCTCCAAAATCAACTCAAATTTTTATTACGTTTTCTGATACATATTAATGTCCTTATGCTGTGTTGAAAGTTTGAGCTGATTTTGACTTCAATTTTTCAAATTACGGCCATTTTAAGAATTTATTGAGATTCTGAAAAATACCCAAGGCTATAGCCAATCATTTTTTTTAATGGATTAAAAATTACCCCAAATTTTATTATGTCCTTATGCTACGTAAAAAGTTTGACCTGGTTCTGATTAAATTTTTGAGTTACATGTACATGTATGACCAAAATCAAAAGTTAATATACGTATGTACATGTACATGTAATTTTTAAAAAAAATCCCAAAATTTGGATTTTTCAAAATATGGCTTTAAAATCATCCTAAATGTTTATTATATTTTTTGACAAAGGGTTTATTTTGATGAGTTGATGATGTTAAAATAAAACGTCAAATTTTATAACCGTCATATTTTTTTGTACTTTATGCCACATGTACGCGAAAGGCACTATTCGTCAAAATAAAAAATTGTAAAAAATCTAATTTTGATCAGAATCAGCTCAAACTTTCTACACAATGTAAGAGCATGTATATGTATCAGAAAAAATTATAAAAGTGAAGAATTCTCTCCTTTTCATTTGAAGTAATAATGACAATTATGACAATTACATGTGTTATTATTATTATTATTCATTTAATTTTATTTTTATTTTTATTTTTATTAATTACTAGGAGTGGTTATCATTATTCATTAGTGATATTATTAAGTTGATCCTAAGATGAAGAAAGCTGGATTACTAAGACACACACAAGTTAACAGCAGAAGCATTGTGGAGAAAAGTAAAGAACTTTATAAATATAATTTAATCATTATTGTTTTTTGTTGCTATGGTAACTGATACATGTACTGTATACTAGTCAAAGGTAAAGGAGGAGAGAGAGTGAGAGATGGAGAGGGAGAGAGAGGGGGAGGGAGGGAGGAAGGGAGGGGAAGATAGAAAGAAAAGGGAAACAGCAAAGGACAATTCCACCATTATTATACAACGTAGGTCTAGAGGAAATTTTATTCTCCAAGTTTGGAATAAAATTGAAATTTCCTAAAATCTATAGCTTTTGGTCACTCATATTTTGCCATGTGTCTTGAAGTATACCATTTTAGCTAGTTTAGTCTCCCAAAAATTTTATCTAGATATAATATCAATGGGCTAGTGTTTAATAGTGATAGTACAGTAACTAATTATGACAGTTAATTTACTGTATCTCTTATTTATTATTAAAGGGTAACTTCAGTGCATTTTTGAGATATTTTTTTTATTTGCTTAATATGATTGCTTGACCATACTAATGATGTGTTCCAACTCCCATCGTCTGAAAAAAATTATTCACTGAGATATGAGCCTTCAAAAATGCCCATTTTTCCTTTCTGCCAGGTTACTTCCTGTCGGTGGGTGTGGCTAAACGTGACGTCACTGGAGGGATAGCTGCAGCTAAATCCATTCCTTTATAGGGGGAAATAATCCTTTATTCTCATGGCTTGTAATGTAATAGCACTAATTTAAAGATTAGAATCATTAGCTTTCATTATTCTAAGCATGGAACTGCAAAAAAAAGTCATAATACCACACTTTGGTAAATCTTCTTGTTTGCTATTTTG